ACATGTTCCACTTAAGTTAAAATCTTGCACTATCCACTATCCACCAATGTCCAAAGTGAACAAAGGTCTAACCTGTGGACTGTTTATGTTGGCCACACTGAGTGGACTGATGGCCAGTTTCTCTTCATTTTCTTTTGTTGTGAGCTCTACCAGCCATCCTACTTGTTAAATACAGCCCAAGGCAGGAAGCCCAGGGGAGCAGGCCCACGAGGAAAATGATGGTTTAGATGACAAGAAAGCATCCTGTAGCCTTTTATTTAGCGTGCTCTCTCAAAGGTCAAGTGGCACACGGGCAGGTTTAGAATCTGGCTCTTGGATTTCTTAATCCTCTGCTCTTAAACAAGACTAATGCTCTGTATAGAGTCTTAGGGGACCAGATAGTCCTATGCATAGTTCAGTCTAGCTTCTTCCTAGGCTCCATCTTCACAGAGTTAGTGAATTCATCAGACACAGAAATGCATGGGATTATTGATATCTGAGTAATTTTCAAGACAAACTTAGTCTTCCATAATTGTAACTTTTTGCTTTGTCTTCTACGGACACTAATACACCTTCAATTCAACGAAAGGCTAGGGTTAGGGTACAGCAGGTGATAATAATTGTCTTGGGTTCACAATTTACAATGTACCAAAAAAATCTCAGCTGTCAAAACAATACTTTGCAACATGTTATAAATGTGATACTTTAAAAATATCAAAGCAAACCAGCAAACTAGGGCCCAGACATTAGCCTTTTGCTGCTGTCAATAAAGCTTTATTGCCAGGACTGAGGTAAGCTGTAGTCTTACATGTCTGAGCTGGATTTTGTCTTTAAAGTCTAATATTTTGTTCACCAAGGATATTTTTGTATTATTAAATTTTTAGAGATGGTGTCCCAAGTAGCCCAGAATGACCTCAGGTCTTGCTACAAAGCTGACACTGACCTTGAGTCTCTGGTCTCACCTCCCCACTGCTGAGATTAGAGGTGTGAATTAGCACAGTCATTTTTTACAAGGTGGTGACCAAACCCACCGACCATGCATGCTAGACAACCATTCTACCAACTGAGCTATTAACGTTGCTTCAGGTAATAAAGTCTTAACTCTATAGCAAAATCATTGTCAATAACCACTCAGGATCCTTAGCTGGATGGAAACTACATAATTAAGGCTAAGTCCGACATCAGCTTCACCAAAGGAAGTGGTAACGAGTCGAGGCAAGTTGCCCCATCTGTCACCCTAATTGTTTTGAGCAATTAGAGGCTAAACGTGAAGTCTGAACAAGAAGCAAAAGGATCTGGATACTTTGAATATTATCCAGGCCCTGAAGGCATGGACACTCAGAAGAGAGTTCTTTCTGCCCTCCCATCACCTTCCAGCCCTGGCCTCCCACCCCTTACTCCCCTTGCCTCTGGTGTATTTCAGGAGAAGGGGGCCCTGGAGCACTGGCAGTGGGAGGAAATGTGAGGCAAGAGGCAAACACCACAACACAGCGCTGGCTGCTCCAAGGCCTTGAGGCTGGTGCACCAGGTGTTAAAGCTCTTTTCTGTCACTTCTTAGCCCCTAACCTGGAGCAAATTCTCAAACCATTACCTGCCTCGGTGTCCTCACAGAGAAAGGGACTTCATAGTAAAACCTTCCTTATCGGATCGGTGTAAAGGATACACGGTGACTCAGTGAAAGTGCTGAGAGTCGGCGTTCCACAGAGGTAACTGACCAAAAGTAAAGACCGGCCAGGCTTGTGCTGCTTGTCTGTAATCTCACTATAGTGGAGGTGGAGGCAGGAGGATCAGAAGTTCAAGGCTAGCCAACCTGTGCTATATAGACAGTCAAAGGCTAGCCTGGGCTATATGAAATCCTTTATACAAAATAAATAGTAATAACAACAGTCACACTTTTGTACTGATTCATATGACTGGCTTTTCTGTTCTTGTTGTCATACTATGATACCGTGGGTTGAGTAATTTATAAAGAATATAAATTTAATCCTCACAGATCAGGAGGCTGGGAAGGGAAGGTCAAGATAAAGATACCAGATTAAGATCCTGGTGAGGGTCCATTCTGTACAGACAGCAGCTGGTGTTCTCACGTGGCAAAAAGACAAACATTGCCGTGGGGGAAGGGCGCTGAGCCCCTTCACAAAGGGTCCACCCTCAAGATGACCTAGTCACCTCCCAAAGGACCCCATAATACCAAAACATTGGTGATTAGATTTCAACATAAATCCTGGAGAGACAAAACATTCAAACCACAGCCCCCGTGTTCCATCATTTTCCTGTGTGGAGAGCTGAAGAGCCAGTGTCAGAGGTTCACTAAGAGTGGCTCTCTCACTCCCCAGCCAGCCAGAACCAGTCTGGATCTGACACAGCGTGGCTCAATCACCAACAAATCGCTGAAAGCCTGATGATTAGAAATGAAAAATGACACCCAAATGTTTGAGGTATTCTGTCAAAATGGAAACACGTGTTATATGGCAGAATCATACTTTATATTTTTGTATATAACTCAACTTAATTTCATTTTATATGTATAGGTGTTTTGCTTGCATTTATTTCTGTGTACCACAGGTATGCAATGCCCAAGGAAGCCAGAAAAAGACATTAGATCCCCTGGAACTGAAGCTACAGATGTGAGTCACCAACACAGGTGCTAGGATTTAAAGCCAGGTCCTCTGGAAGAGCAGCAAGCGCTCGTAAACCCTGAAATGTCTAACTCTCCAGACCGGTATATTTTCTTGAAATTATTTTTAATGACAAGGAAGCATGTTAGAAAAAAGGAATCTCTTTTTAAAAATGTCTTCAGTAGTTAGTTTTCTGTTGCTGTAATAAAAAAAAAAAACAAAAAACAAAATTATGATCAAGGGCAACTCAGGGAGGAAAGCTTATTTGGCTTCCAGTTCCAGGGGGTCAGGATCCGCCCTGGTGGTGATGACAAGCTAGCAGAGCCAAGAGACTCTGCTTCCATCCACATGAAGGAAGTTGAGAGAACAAACTGGAAGCTGGGTGAGGCAATGAGCTCTCAAAGCCTTCCCCCCAACTGATGTACTTCCTTCGGTAAGGTTCCACCTCCTAAAGGTTCCTCCCCAGTGTCACCAAACTGGGACCAAGTTTTCAAATATCTGAGCCTATCGGGGACAGCTTTAATTTAAGCCACTACAGGTTCTTCCCATGCTGCCTCAACTGATCTCAAACTCCTGCGCTCAGATGACATCCAGTGTCAAGCAAGACTGCTCACATGCTTAGACCACTGCTTCCTTTGAATCCTCCTTCCCAATATTAGGGACTGCATGCAGACCTACAGGTATGCGAGGCAGTGCTCGACCAGCCCTTTACATCTTTTATTTTAATTGACAGGGTCTTTCTAAATTTCCCCAAGCTTTACAACTAGGCCTGACTTCAGATCGTATTTTTAAAAGTAAAACTAGCAAAACAGTTAACACATCAACAGAAACACATAGCAGTTCTGGTTTTTTTACTAATATGACTCTGTAGTAGACAGGATGATGTCCTTCTAACCCCCAAGACCTGTGAATGTATTACCTTACACGGCAAAGGGATTTAGCAGATACGAGGAACATGAACATGGTGGTTTGATTAAGAATGCCCCTACAGGCTCATGGATTTGGATGTTTGGGCTTTAGGGAGTGGTGCGACTTCACAGGGATTGGGAAGTGTGGCCTTGTTGGAGGAAGTATATCAGTGGGGGGGTGGGATTTGGGGTTTCAAATGCTCAAGCCAGGCCCCCCATCTGTCCCTCTCCTTCCTGCTGCCTGCCAATCCAGATGTAGAAGTCTCAGCTACCTCTTCAGCACCATGCCTGCCTGTGTACCAAGACAATAATGGACGAAGCCTCTGAAGTGTAAGCCAGCCGCAATGAAATGCTGTCCTTTATAAGAGTTTCCGTGGTCATGGTGTCTCTTTACAGCAACAGAATATTAACTGAGACATCGAGATAGGGAAATTATTCATATGAGCCCAACATAACCACAACAGTTCTTAAAAATGGAATAGGGGGGCACTGGAGAGATATTACTTCAGAATAAAGGCACAGAATAATACTACAGCTCTGGCTTTGGAGACAGAGGAAGGGGTCCCAAGTCAAAGAACTTGGGTGGCCTATGGAATCTATGAAGGACCAGGAAACCGATTCTTGCCTAGAATGTACAAAAAGGAACACCATGTCAGAATACTGAAAGGCAGAATTACAGGTGATAAGCTCACGCTGTTTAAGTCACCAAGTCTGTGGTCATTTGTTACAGCAGTAAGTTAAGAACTAATACACACACAGGATTATCAAACCATCCTTGATATACTGGAGCACATAGCGCAGTAAATGGCTAGGTCACTAGGTGGGGATGGGGAGTCAGGGTGGACAGTGAGGTGTGGGTTGAGGGATGTGTAGGGATGAGATCAATTCCCTGTGTTCTCTGAGGTTCACAGTGCAGCTTCTGATCAGTTAAGTGCAACAAAATAAGATCTCTGCCACTCAAGGCCATCTCCTACCCTGAGGACTCTGATACCAGAGGTCCCTGTTTAGGGATGGTCAGTGACTTACAGGTTAGAAACACTCATTCCTATGTGTCTGCAGCTTACAATACAGGAGCTGAGTAAATGTAATTCCAATTTCTGATAATAGATAAAAATATAGGTACTCATGCTGGGTAGTAGTGATGCACACCCTAATCTCAGCACTCGGGAGGCAGAGACAGGCGGATCTTGATGAGTTTGAGGCCAGCCTGGTCTATAGAGCTAGGTCCAGGACAATCAGGGCTACATAGTGAGAGCTGTATCAAAAACAAAACAAAAATGAAAATGACCTAGAATCCAATCCTTTTGTGTACATATTTTAACCAAAACCTTGTCATGGAGTTGAAAAGAGATGGGGTCTTTGCTCTCTCCTGTACATTTCCAGGTTCTGAAGCTCAAAAATCTGGAGCCCTAGAAGCCTTACAGACCTCTCACAGGAAAGCCCTTCAACAGCCTGTACAAAGCCAGACCCCTCCTTGACTTCCTCCCCAGCTCACCGGTTTCCTTGTGAGGTGTTGAGGTGCTGCTCCAAGGCGTATCATCTTCAAACTGGACCCAGTTGCTGATGGCCGAGGCCAAGTCAGGCGTGGGCTGCACTGGGCTCCCGGGAGGGGTGGTCGCTTCAGAGATGAGGCCCATCTTCTCAGAGGAGTCATCCTGCTCAGAGTGGGAAAGGTCCTGGCAGCCTCCATCCACGGCAGGATTCTCCCCGGAGGAGCTCTCAGACGGGTCTGAGGAAGATGATGATCCTGGGAAGTGTTCTTCTGTGGCCCCTACAGAGGGTACCAAACACGACCATCATGCAAGGAAGGATGCTAATCAGAAGTGACTAACCAAGGGACGGGGTGACATGACACTCACTGGAAGATGAAATGGCCATGCCAATCCATCTCCGTGTTAAAGGGCTGTGTCCCTGATAACTTTTAAAGCCTGTAATCTCATTTGTTCCTAGTTACTATCCCAGAGAACTGAGAAAAACATTCCCCATTATTGTATTTATTTATGTGTGTATGAGTGTATATGATGTATGTGTGTGTGGGTGTGTGGCGGAGGTTGATGTCAGGCATCTTCCTTGATTGTTCTTTACTTTTTGGGGTGACATATTCGATGTACACATGTGAGGGGGTACTCTGCCCAGTGCATAGTGTATGCACCTATGGAGGCTGGACGTCAATACCAGGATGATTTTTTTCAATTGCTCTCCACCTTACTTTCTGAGACAGGGTCTTTCCCTGAACCTGGATCCATCTATTCCGCTAGACTGGCTGATCTGTGAGCCCAGGGCTCTGCCTGTCTGTACCTCCCCCTCTCTCAATGCTGGGGCTGGCTGTACACATGCACCGCTCGCAATTTTCCATGGGCACTGGAGGTTAAATCCAGGTCCCAGTGCTTGCACAGCTGGCACTTTATCTGCTAAGCCATCTCTCCAGCCCTTGTTCATTATTTTTACTCTCAGTCTCCGTGCCCAGTTTGAGAGCAAACAAATTCAAATGGCAATAGAGGTCAAGCAAGAAATATTCCTGAGCCGAGTGGGGACAAATGAGAAGCAGTAGGGTGCTGGGGACTACAGCCAAATAGTGGAGCTTCCCTCTGCACTAAAGAAATTCAAATTCAAATTTGAAACTCCATTCTGCACAAGCTACTCTGCAGGCAACCCGTGCAGACCCCACGAATCACTGGCAGCTCTGACACTGGGGTTCTTCCTTTTCTTCATGTTGTCCCACTGGCCCTGAAAGGCTTAATGCCCTTCAAAACTTGTTCCTTAAAAACTTTTATTACATTTTTTCCATAAAATATATTTTGATGATATTTGTTCTCCTTCCCAAACTCTTCCTAGATCCTCCCAAGGTCCCTACCCACTCAAGTTCATGTTCTTCCTCCTTCTGACTCAAAATAAACAAAATAGAAACAGGAAAACAAAGCAAAACAAAACAAAACAAAAATGCTCATGCGCACATACACACAGAGTCTGCTTTCTATAGGCCAGCTACATCTGGGTGTGGAGCATTACTGACAGACCTAGTGACACTCCATTGAGAAAATGGATTTTTTTTCCCCAGCAGGTAACAGTTGCAAATGGCTTCTTGGCTAAGGGTGGGACTTTGTGTCCAGGAAGATGGAGAAAGAAAACTTGTTTTTCACAATAAAGCATATGCACTGATTATGGTGGTTGAATATACAAATATATACATGTTTTTAAAATTCATCTACTGCATAGCAAACAATGTCCATTTTACTGTATGAGAGTTTACCTGCTTTTGTATCGCACAGCCTATATATGAAATATTCTAAAGAGTCAAAAAATAATTTGAAAATCCTTTTTCCTATCATAAGATAATCATAGTGTCTTTTATACAATCAAAGGCTCCAGCACTATCTAAGTAAAATAAAAGGTGAGACACGTACATAAGCTTAAGTTTTCTAGTTTCCACATTTAAAAGGAGCTGGTGGTGGCGCACGCCTTTAACCCCAGCACTGGGGAGGCAGAGGCGGGAAGATCTCTGTGAAATTGAGGCCAGCCTGGTCTACAGAGTGAGTTCTAGGACAACCAGGGGCTGTTACACAGAGAAACTTGTCTCCATAAGCCAAAAAAAAAAAAACAAACAAACAAAAAAAAAAACAAATAAAAACTGTTAATGAGATACTGAAGCACGATTAATTAAAAACTCAAGAGACAGAAATTGGAGTTCAGCCTGAGGGTCAGAAAAGCAAAACAGCCAGCCACTGGCTCTTATCTATACTTTAGTCCAAAACGACCATCTTGCCTCCAGGAATCTCAGAATGAGACTGAGAGCTGTCTCCTCCCATTTTATAATCCTCTCTAGTTCTGTGGTTAATGGTGTGCACGACTACCGCCCGGTTTCTATGGCAAGCTAGTGTGGCTATTGAGATTAAAGGTGTGTGTCATTGCTGCCTGGTCTGTAAGGCTGGCCAGTGTGGCTGCTTTGCTTTTCTGATCCTCAGGCAAGCTTGATTTATTAAAATACAAATGAAATACCACGACGAGACACAACTGTGTGTATGTGTGAGAGAGTGTGTGTGTTTTGAGTGTGTCTCTGTGCTGAATGCACACGTGTGGGGGCAGGTGCATACATGTGCCTATGCATGTGTGGCAGCCAGGAAGAGCTCACCTAGTATTTTTTTCCTATCACACTTTGCTTTAGTCCCTTGAGACAGGTCTCTCACTGGATCCGGATTTAGGCTGGTAGCCATCCATTCCCAGCAATCCTACTTCATGTCCTCCACAGGACTGGGGTTAGAGTTGTGTACAGCTATGCTGGACTTATAGCATGGTTCCTGGCCATTTGAAATTAGGGCCCCCACGCTTGCAGAGCCAGCGCTTTCACTGAGTGAGTCGTCTTCCCAGCCCCCCAGACATGTGATCTTTAGTAGGTCTTTGACATTCAGAGAATGCACATCTCCATACAGGACACTTTGGCCACGTTTCAATTCAGATTTGCCACATTTTAAGGCTTCACTATCCACATGGCGACCACACGGGCTGTATACCTGTTGACTGCCACTTCCCATCTGCGCAGGTGAAGGTCAGTAGGCATAGGGGAAGCAGAGCAGAACCAACCGGCCTGGTGCTGCAAATATCCCTGGGTCTACCTTGACCTTCACCCTGGAGCACTAGTCTCCTACAGGGCAATGTGGTCACTTCTACTGTGACAATGCTCGGCTCCTTGTGTGAGCCAGGTACTCCAGCAGGCATTTTACATCTGCTGACTAAATGCTCGCAGAAGCTCCCGAGGCAGGGCCTGTGATCACTCCTCTTATAAATAGACAAGGCAGCGGTGGTAATTGCAGCACTCCAGAGAGGGGGGTAGGAGAGCTGCTGGGGAGGTCATGGCCAGCCTAGTCTACAGTGACTTCTAGGACAGCCAAGATTATAGTGTAAAAACCTGTCCTAAAATTAAAACACAAAACCAGCTGGGTGTGGTGGGGCATGCTGTTAGTCCCAGCACTTGGGGGGGAGGGGCAGAGGCACGTGGATCTCTGAGTTCGAGGCCAGCCTGGTCTACGGATTGAGTTTCAGGACAGCCAGGATACACAGGTTTCCCTGTCTCAAAAACAAGAAGCAAAAGGAAACAACAACAGAAACAAATCACAAAGCAAAAAAAAAAAAAAAAAAAAAAAAAAAAGTTTCAGAAAGATGTGGGTAAGAGCGTTGGCTGTGCAAGCGTGAGGACCCGAGTTCAAGTCCTCGGTACCCACCTATAAACCAGGCCTGGCAGCACATGCCTATAACTGCGGCGTTGCGTAAAGACAAGCAGATCGTGGTCAGCCAGCCTCGCTAACACACAGGCTTCTGTTTCGTTGGTAGATCATGTCTCAAGACAAGAGGGCAGAGAACGATGGCACCTGAGTCCTGCTCGAGCCTCCACATAGATGGGCACGGCATGTGCACACGCCAAACACCCGCCATCTCACCCCACACGTACATCGTTCACCCCAGAACATACCATTCGTCTGTGGTGATGCCAAGGTTAGAGATCTGCAATCTGGCTCAGAACCTGTCACTTCGAGCAATTATATTTTAAAAGTTGAGAAAAATCCAAAGGGTTGGTGGGAGGAGCCACCAAAATGGCCAACAGGAAAGCAGTATGCAATTAGAAGTTTTGTCTCCTGGAAGGAATAAGCCCCCCCCCCCCCCCACTGGTGTTCCAGGGTTGTAGTGCAGTCTCACGCAAACAAAGAACCTCCTCTTGCTACTGAATGAAAGAAACCATGCGCATCCCTGGTAAGGGACCAAAAGGCTTTTTTCTTTTTTCCTTTTAAATCCCACCCACGAATGATCAAGAACCAGACACAAATCTTGTCACTTTAAAAAAAATCTTGTCCTTACCCTCTGAAGGTACAGGGAACAGGGGCTCTTCACTGAAGGAGACCCACTCCGACTGGTGGGTAGCAACGACATGGTCCAAGGTCGTCATGCTAAGAGAAGGCTGCTCATCTTCACCCTGCTGACCTCAAGTAGACCCCAGAAAGATGTCTGGGGAGAGCAGGGCAGCAGCACCACGAGCTTGGGCCTCCAGTCTATCACAGACGTCCGTGAAAGCCAGCAATCAGAACAGAGTCAAGATTGGTCCTTCTTGCCTTTGGTCAATCTGCCAGGCAGAGATCTGTTGAAATGAGAAAGGAAATTGAAATCCACAAAGACCTAGGGCTTTGAATACCACGATGAGGTCTCGGGTAGTTCCCAACATGCCATGTTTCTCTCTTTCTCTCCTAAACCGTCTCTATTGAAGCAAGATCCCTGTATAAGGAGTCAGGTCAGATCACTCATTTAATAACCACTCAAAGTTTAGCATTTTTAGATTGGCTTCCCTGATTTCCCCAACCATTCTCTTTCGGAAACACTGTTAGCTATAATGGAAGGCTATTGGTTATTATTAAGCATTAAAACTTGTTCAGAGGCTTTCCCGGTTTTTACCCAGATGGTGAAATAAAAGCATGCTCCTTCCCGTTTTAACCGAAGCCCTTGCTTGCCTCAGGCAGGTTCCTTTTTGTGAGTCTGATCTGAATCTCTGGCAGAAACCCAGCTGTAACCAGATAGCATCTCCAAGCGTGATTAACCAATCAGGAAAAAAACAAAACAACACAAAACAATAACGGAGTCACCGCTTGTTCATTTGAAGGAAGAGGTTGGGGAATATTTGATTTACTGATTAAAAATAAAAAAGCAAGTTAAATACATTTTCAATCTCGGTCAATTTGAATTAGTGTATAAATGTCAAATCCTTCCTTGTAAGGCAATTATGTTCTGTGAATGCTCAAGATTATTTAATTGGCTTATAATTTTCTTTATGTTATTAATGTCTTTTTACAACTGGAACCTCGCTCTTGATCTTATGATGAATGGATAAAATGAGAATTGGTGCAAAATTAATGTGCTTTCACAAAGGAGCTTCTGTCTGTCTCGGGCCCCATTGTTCTTGTTAAGCAAATACACTCTTCTGATGGTTTCTAGAGTGACGTAACTCAGCCTTCACAATAACAGTAGAAGTTAAACTTTGCTCTACATTATTATTTACAGTGAACACTTTATACTGAGAAAAAAATCAGAATAGAAAACATTTGATGATTTTGGTGAGGAAAAGGTTTGTTTTATAGTTCTTAAAGCAACTGTTTCTATAAAATTTATAATCCTCAGAAACCTATTTTTATACTGCTCGTCACTTAGGTTGTCAGTATACTGGTCAGCTGTTGTTTGTTTGTTTGAGACAGTCTCATATCTGAGGCCATCCTAGCTACATGGACAAAGATGACCTTGAACTTCTGATCCTCTAGTCTCCACCCCCGAATGCTGAGATTACGATTACACAGCAGTACACACGGTTTAAGAGGACTTCCTGCATAGCAGGCAAGCACTCTCCCAACTGAGTTGCTTTCACAGCCTTCACCGTCCATTTTATTTTATTTTATTTTTTTAAATTTTTATTTATTATTTTTTTAATGATTTTATTTAACTTTATGTTCATTGGTGTGAAGGTGTCAGATCTCGTGGAACTGCATTTTCAGATAGTTGTGAGCTGCCATGTGGGTGCTGGGAATCGAACCCGGGTCCTCTGGAAGAGCAGTCACTGCTCTCAACCGCTGAGCCATCTCTCTAGCCCTTCACCGTCCATTTTAGATGACTAGGGCAGGTGACAATATAGTTCTTTTATTGATTAAAAAAAAAAATCTGAGGAGAGAGAAATGAGGTGACTTATTCAACGCTAAAATGGGCCCTAACATTCCCAACACGCTTCTTCCAGGCTTTTTAAGTCAAAGAAATTCACGGCTTCAGGGCAATTGACTCTCGGTTTCCATGGTAGCCTCCTATATAAAGAAAGATCAAATAGAGGCCACAACAAACTGGTAGACTAGAAAATGGAAGCTGCTGGGTGACAAATCCAGTCCCTGAGCCCAGGTCCTCTAATGTCAAAACACTGTAATCTGAGTCACAGCCACGAAAAAGCACTACTGAGTATATTATAGACTATCATGCAACTAAAGTAGGTTACAAACATCAACTACAAGGGAACTTTACTGACATTTCCTGACAAACTCCCCTTATGGAGATCTGCCAGGACACCCTATGCACACGAAGGATGGAATGTCCAGAAGTCTCTACTCCAAGGCCCTCCCCTGAGATCCTTACCAGCCACAGGACTGGACATGTACGAACAGCCTGGAGAAGGCTGCCGTCCTAACCCAGGTCTTAACTCAAAGGACTGGTCCTCATGAGTAGCAGCCTGTGAACTTTTTTTCTCTCTAGCCCCATCAACGTCAAGGCTAGTGTCACTCAGTGTGGTAATGGCTGTGAGCCAGAAAAAGAAAGCAAAATTGAAGAGTCAGATTCATCTTCTGGATGTCAAGCCGAACCCCACTGCACCTCTCAGACAGAAAGCCACAATGCAAGGCATGTGCTGACACACGCCACGTCACGGCTCCGTGGGAGTTTATCCCACAAGGGTGAGCCTAGCCAAAGCCGTGGATAAGTGGGCTTGGAGGGATGGATAGGGAGAAGGAAATAAAAGGTAAAAAGAGCAGAGAACCCTAAGAATAGGTGGGCTCTTCAGCATAGCTCCTGAGTGTGTGTTTACATCACACTTATTTATGTATGTGTGTGCATGCAAACCATGTGGAGGTCATAGGATAATTTGCAGAAATCAGTTCTCTCCTTTCACTATGTAAATCCGGTTATCAAACACAGGTCAGCAGATTGGTGGCAAGTGCCTTTATCTGCTAATCCATTGCGTGGCCCAGTCCAGAGCTGAATGCTGTCTCAGACAGAGCTACGGTTGCTGTGATGAAACACCATGACCAAAGTAACTTGGGAGGAAAGGGTTAAATTAGCTTACACTTCCAGGTCATAGTCCAGCACTGATGGAAGCCAGGGCAGGAACTCAAACAGGGCAGGAACCTGGAGGCAGGAGCTGATACAGAGAGGCCATGGAGGGATGCTGCTTACTAGCTTGCTCTCCATGGCTTGCTTAGCCTGCTTCTTATAGAACCCAGGGCAATCTGCCCAGAGGTGGACCCACCCACAATAGGCTGGGCCCTCCCCATCAATCTCTAATTTAAAAGTGCTCTACAGGCTTGCCTACAGGCCAATCTTAGGAAAACATTTTCTTAATTGGTGTTCCCGCCTCTCAGATGACTCTAGGCTTTGTCAAGCTGAGATAAAATTAGCCTGCACGAGTGCTTGAACTCATAATTCAAGCTGCTTAAGTCCCAGTTTACCTCTGTACACCAAAAAGAACAAAACTCACTTCACCATTCAGAGCACTCAGTGGGATCATGAACGCTGCTGATGTTTAGTAGTGGGCATACTAAGCCTCCTGTACTGACAACAAGGGTAGGCTAGAGTTATTGAGCCTCTGGTGGACTACTGGCCTAGCATGCACAAGGCCCTGGACTCAACCCCACTGTGAGCACGGTGGCACACACCAGCAATCCCAGCACTCGGAAGGTGGAGGCAGGAGGATTAGAAGTTCGAGAATATCCCTAGCTACATACATATAATTTGAGACTAGCATGGGCTTACATGAGACTCTGTCTTGGAAAGAAACAAATAAGTGACAACGACAATATCAGGTGACCTGCTGTAGGAAGTCTTACAGCCAGTGGTTACCCGCCCACTGAGGCGTGGTCGCTTATACTATATAAGCTGATGTAGGGCATGCGTCCGGTCTCTTTTCCGGCTGTGGGATTCGGTTTCTGATCATCGTTCAAGCAGAGGATTCTGATTTGTGAGTCTACCCCTAAATAAATAACCATCTATTTCTCAATTCTGAGCTAGTGTGGGATTTCTTTTAAGGGTCCATCTCCAGTGACCTTACAGAGGGATTACTCTGGGCCAGGCTCCGCTCCAAACCCTATGCAAGCGTTCGCTATTGTCATCACCACAGTTGTTCCGTGTCTCAGCCGAGGTGGCAAAGCTCTTTGGGAAAAGTGTTTGGATTAGAGTACAGACTTATTGAGCTGCCCTATTTCTGCCACTGATGCGTCCTCTTCCAGTGATTTCCCCTTTCCCTCATTGTGTCTGCTGAGAGAACAGGTCTCTCAGATGCTAAGTAGAGATAAGTGCTTGGTTCCGGGGCCCAGAAGGTCAGCTTCCTCTTTTCAGACAGAAGCACATTCTGCGTGAGAAACCAAAACCATCACTCAGCAAGAATAAATGGAAGAAGGGGCCCCTGGGAACTCTCTGCTCTTTCTTAGCTCATCCATCCCAGGTCAGGCATGAGCCAGATGTCAATACTGAACAGTCCAAGGAAAGACTGACAGAATACTTGTTACAGGGAATGTCCCAGCATATCCTGTGAAATGCCTTCTAGGTACTTGTCCTGAGAAGCACTATGCGAGTTACTCAAAACCCACAGAGGAACCCAGTAATTGTGAGGCTAGGCTCAGACTGGAATCAATTCCTCAGTCAAAACCTCACCCCACTTTTAGAGCGTGAATCATGAAGTGAGGCTGGCAGCCACCACAGATGAGTGGTGACTCAGAATCAGCAGCAAGAGTGACTTGGAGATACCAGAGATTCCACTGAAGTCTTGGGGCTGCTATGGTCCGCACCATTTAGGCTCTAAAACATGGAGCTGGAGAGTGCGCTTGGCTGACGGGATAGGAGTCTTAAGCAGATTGTCTCAGGTCAGTCCTCTGTAAAAACATGCCAACTGTCCTTCGAGATAGCAATCCTCAGGCAGCCATAACTTAGCTGGGGGAGACAAGACAGAATAGCAAAAACAAGTCTGGGATAACTGCCCGCTGAAGGACATATGGGGGTGGTGTGACTGCCGGCGGTGGAGAGATCTCGGAGAGTTGGAAACACAGGGGCCTGATGCAGGCTGCATGGGTATGAAGGATGCCCTGGGTTCTGGAACACTAGAAGGCGAGAGTAAGGCTTTCCTGGGGACAGATGGATCAGTGTGAGTGGAGGCTAATAGTCTTGGTAAGGGTTAACTCTGGGCAGCTGATGAGATTGGAGGTATGTACCGGGGAAATGTGGAAAAGAAGGACCGAGGGACCTTAAACACCAAAGGAAAGATCCCTCGGGAAATGGAAACCTGCTAAAGGTTTAGGAGTGAACAGTGACTCCAGGGCATGCGTAGGGGACATCGACATTCCTCGCTGT